CTCATACATATATATATATATATATATATATTATATAATTGTCACCCTCGTCATCTCACGACTCACCTTATACCTATATAGACGTGTAATACTAATAATAATATAAAACGATTTCGCAATACGTGTCATAAACATATACATATCTCAGTATATACTAATAGTGAGCATATATATTATATATACATAATAATATATGCGTATTACAGCAAGGTGTAAGGAACACAGCTCTTATTATGGTATTATACATAGTATGTACCCTTTCAGTAGGCATATTGGTTTTCGAAAACGTCATCAGATTAATTCTGATAAAACTAAAATGATATAATAATATTAATAGCCTGCTGTGCAAACGTTGAAATACTAAAACTGTCACTCACGATATGGCCTTAAAATCATGCACATGTAAAATCTATGAATAAACATGTAATATTATGTATAATTATATATAAATGATATACCTAAGTATATACGGCTACACTGCAGCTAATGATTATAGTATTATTATTTATTATATACCATTATCCTCGGAATTATCAATTAGCTCGGAATTTGTATTATAAGAACACTCATTCCGATTAGTAAGCGTTATTGCAAGTAATGACGTATCTCCAGCTTCTGCTATTTGTTTTGCAGGTTTATAGAGTATATTATATTTAGACATATACCTATATATATATTATATAGTATAGTAAAGCTATAAGCATAATTTTTCATTGTAGATAGCACGCAATTTAAAACTGTCTACAAATGTTTATATAGTTTGCCTAATATAACCTTTTCAATAAAATATTTTTTTCTGATCCAAAATATATAATATTAATTTAAAAAAAATGTACAATGGTTTTCATTAAAGCAATGACTTTATTTTAAATTATTTTCTTTTATACTTATATTGTTATATATAAATAAATATAGGTTATATAGATATTATACTTAGTAGCAAACTTCATCAAAGGTATTATAAGAGAGACTGTCGACCTATGAAGTTCCTACATTATTATATTATATTTTACACTATTCTATATTGGTGACTTTTTATGACTAACTGTTCTCAATTTTTCGGTACAAATAATCGATATATGTTTTTGGAAATACTTTTCGGATTTGTCATTAGAATGAATAATTGTTATCATTATGATATTGTTCAAGTTTTTTCTTTTTTGATCAACGCATACACTTTTAGTTTCAACAATTCTTGAAGCATTATGTAGGTATATATATATATACCACATTATAATCCTTTACTTACCGATTGAATGATTTGTTCCGTGATATAAAAGAAGCACCCTGTATACACAAGTATATATGGAATAGACGTTATAACAATGATGTCTGCGGTGTGTGCGTCCGTCTATGTGAGTGTGCGTGAGCGTGTGAAGGGTGACGGTGTGGCCGGGTGGAGTATTAAAGGCGGGTAACGCGATTGGGAATGGGCGCGGCCTCTTCTCTCCGTCCCATCACCACCCCTCCCCAACGGATCAGTGTATCGGTGGTGTGTGTAGGTTAGTAGTAAAGGAGAGGTGACAACTATATACAATATAATGTGTTTGTGTGTGTGTGTGTGTGTGCGTATTTATACTGTATAACGATAAGCATCGTGTGCACACGACCGCGGGACACGGAACGACGACGAATAGAGAACAAAAGTGTATATACATATACATGCACGTTTGTGTGTGTGCGTTAGTCGAGACAAATTCGAAAATGTAAATCGAAGTTAGCGTATATCAGCGTAGTGTATACGCGCACACAAACACACACACACATACACACACACACAAAAGAGAATAGACTGTTTTTTTTATCATTCGACGCGTGCAAGTATACGGTGGCGGACGGTTTTTATGTACATATTATTATATCCACATATATATAATATATTATCCATTAGGTATAATCGAAGATGCGTTACAACCGTCGCCATAATATATATCTGCACCGCCTATTATGCGTATTTTATAGTAGTAGTATAATAATGATAGTAAATATATAATATAATAATATCATACCATTATTATTATTTGCCTTATAGAAATATTGTTTTGTATACAGACAGTGCGTGTAGTAGCGGTCGGATCGACCGCCCGCAGAGCTTTTGATTCTCAATCGTTCCCAATATAATAGGTACCTATATCTGTACTTGCCCATACATAATATATATTATTATCATAAAAAGAATATCGCGTTTGTTATTTATGTGGTTTTAAACGCGAGCGTGGTATATATATACAGAAGTATATACATCACACGCATATTATATATGTATGTATATGTAGTCGCGTATACTGTGCGTGCGTGTGTGATTATAAAACGACCTATACGCCCCGCGAGTAATGGACAAATTAGTGCGGTTTCGGCGTACCCATTATACCGTTTATATACCTATACGTCATGGATATATATATTTTGAAACCAGTCAATTTCCTCCCGTTTTCCATTGAACCCGCTGCGAACAGTCGCCGCCGAGCCCGCATCTACGTGACACACGTCATTGGGTTTACGCCGCGACGCGACAATCGTAATTTAAAAGGCCATTTTATTATTATATAGTATATACCTATATGTAGTGTACATATAATATTATGAATTCACCATCATGATGGCGGTTGAAGAGCGCGAACGGTAAATCATATATGTATATAATATGTATAATGGCAATAATAGTTTTAACAAAATGAATGTCAACGATTTATTTCGGCCGGCCCGTTTCGCGTTTAATCGGCCGCTAAATTTACAATAATAAATTACGCATGTGAGTATTCGAATAAAATAAAAACATAAATAATCACGTTTATATGCAGTATATATACAAGTGCCTTTATATATAGCTTTATTATGACGTTATAATATATGCAGTGAGTGTGGCGGTGTGGTTTATATAGATGATAATAATGCATCATTCAGCATTGTACTCTATATATGTATTAATATATAGGTATTAGGTATATAGGTATATATATATACTACTATAGGCTTATATATAATAATAATTATTAAACAATCCATTTACGTGATAGCCATTAGGGCCGTGGTCATATAAATATAATATATATATATATACCTAAATCAACGTCAAACATTCTTATACATATACATATGGCAATTCATCAAACAAAATATACTTTTAATTTTCTTCTGCGTTATGACTTGGTTTTGCCTATATAATATATAGGTGCATATACACTGAGGAAAGGTACAATAGTAATAATAGGTATTATATAGAAGGTCATGTATAAAAACATAACGAAACAACGTATTTATGTATATAGGTAGCATATAGATCATTATAGGTAGGTATTATATAGGTATATAAATATATAATTGCCTGTATGTTTATTTCCACATCATACTGGCGTGGAGAAGACTTTACGTCTAATCCGGACTGCAGCACCGCTACATAATACTTACTACTTTCTGACCATATCGACAAATATAGGTTACCTAACACAGCAAGATTTTGCAATATTTGTGTATCGTATATATAGCAATAATAAAATCGAGCAGTGCTTCTCGTAAAACTATAATAATAGCTTGACTATAAAATATATAAACTTTGTGGTAGGTAATACACCTAAAAACATTCGTATGATGACTGTGTACCTATAAAGGAAGAATTTTTTCGAATACATATTTAGGTACTTGAGTATATGCAATGTAAAATTATAATTGATAATTTCACCTATGTTTATTATATTAGTATACATATTATTATGTTTCACGCTGCACATAACAGGCATTATTATACATTGGTAAGCCTCGGTGTTGACGTTGCAGAAAAATGGTAATATACGATCACTGCTATATAGTGTGAGATTATGCAGCCGTTTAAAACGGCAGATATAGGATAATTGAAATCTATATACTGCTGCAGCAGTGCAGCAGAATACTTCAGTATTGCGGGCGTATTGTGTATGCATATAATATTCTAATAGTTACATTTAATAGTTATCAAAAGGGTACGCTGTGTCTTATATATATGATATAATTGATAGGGACGATGCGTTTTATAACACATATATAAATGGAAACGGCTCGTAATATTTAAGTCGCTCCGAATAGGGTCGTCACTGCAACAGCGTGTTTGTCAGAATAAAAGAAAGGGTTCCTCGAGGCATATATATATATATATGTGCACAGAGTGCGGGGACACTGCAGTGTTTATACCTACTCGTTTTTCCCTGAGAAAACACGCGGCTGCGGTGGCCCTGCTCCCTGCTGCAGTATATAGTGTCCTATATATAGGATTTACGAACGGATTTTTTTTTTAGAGTTTCTGTACTGGAATATAAATATTATAACATATACTGTTCCGCCGAGCGATGACAATAATTACGTAATATTATTGTAGTATAACAGTTGTAGATAGTACCTAATAAGTAATAATATAATATATGTATATATTATATATAGCCATATAGGTAGGTACCTCTACGCGTGTCGAGGGAAAACAGCAGAACACGTCTCGTCCGGCGGCCGACTGCAGGGTGTGCGGTAGTGAAAAGATCGACGGCCGGCCGCTCGCGCGATAACCGTTGGTTGGCAGGGTGGTGGTAAACATGGTCGTGTCGCGGGGAACGGTTGGCGGGTTGGGCGTGCGTAGGAGGCGCTATCCGTTGAGGCGGTGCCCCGCGCGCGCGCCTCACGTGTGTGTGCGTGCGTTCGTGTGCTTGTGTGCGTGCCCGTTCGTGTGCGTGTGTGTGTGTGTGTGTGTGTGTGTGTGTGTGCGTGTGCGTGTTCGCGCGTTCCCCTTCCGCCGCCGCCGCCGCCGCCGACTGACGCAGTCCCCGCCACCGCTCCCGCGGCAGCCTCCGCGCCGCGACCCGTTCGTTCGTCCGACGACGGCACCGCCGCCCCGTACCGCACCCCACCGGCGGAAGAATCGCGACCACTAGGCGCGCGCGCATCTACGGCGAGTGTGTGTGCGCGCGTACGTGTGTAAGTGTGCGCGCGTTTTGCTGACGGATCTTGTGCGTGCGGGCGTGCGTGCGCGTGTAGTCGGCCGTACTCGCAGCGCACGTCGCTCATTATAGTACGCCGCGCCGCGGACAAGTCGCTACCGCGTACACGTCGTCGTCGTCGCTGCCGCCGCCGCCGCCGCCGTCGCCGTAGCCGCCACCGCACAGCAGTCTGTCCCGCATAACCGACCCGTGTCGAACACGAACGCGCTGCTACCTCGTAATACCTGCACAATAATACTATTGCCATTACGATATTTTTAATAATATATTATTGCCGTCCGTGTACGCCGGTAATGATATTAGAATAATTCGATTCGTAAATAATTATTGCAATACAATATAGTATCGTAAACGAGGTACATCCGTTAGGACGTGTGTTCGAGTTTTTTTTTTTTAAATCTTGTGCCGTCAGACTACGGTGTTTTTTTTTTTTTTGTTATTGGTTTTTAAATTTCGTTTTCGAATCGTCTTCTACTTGGACCGCATAGGCGTGCGGCCAATGAATCGCTGCGCGAAGACCGCAACCACCGCCGCAACCCGCACCGCCGCCGCCGACGACTGCACCGCGGCGACGCTGGCCGTTGTTGTCGTAGTGGTCTCGTAGCGCGCGCGTCCCGCGAAAACGTCTCGAAACCGCGGGTCTCCCGCGTACCATGACTTCTCAGTTTTCACAACAACTCGCCAAAAATATCGGACACCAGGTAAGGAGATGATTATAATATTACACAGTATTTGCTGATGTGGTATGATTATGATATTATAATATTGTAATATACGCGCGAGTCAAATTATTAGGCGGTTACGAGGTATAGGTTTCTACACTTTTACCCATATACTATAGCTATTTATTACACCTATATTTAGCTCTAGTTTTCTTCGTTTCGCGATAAATAATCATTTTCTTGGAACCCACCAATTGCATGCCATCGATATATTCACGAGAGCCCTAATGATGAGTAGCTGGCTTTAATTTATTATAAATTACATATTATACTTACGTAGGTACATTGAGATCCAATTAAAATTTGTTGAAAAATAATTTAAAAGGCCAATTATTCAGGAGTATATAGTGCCTATAATATAATATTATGTCTTCGAAATCCATCCTGCAGTATTGTTTAAAAAGGAATCTATTTAATTATTGTACAAATGTATACCAACACGTACTTATGTACGTATATACTTTAATATATTAGGTAATATCTTCTTCGATATGTAGATAATATGTAAAATTATAGATGTGTTCTAATTTTGAATTCAAACATATATGCGGCTGTTATTGCTAGTTATATTATACTATAACTTGATGTATGTATATGTATAAATCTTGCCTAATCTATTTAAATCAGTTCTCCTATTTAGTTATACCTACCAATCTACCTTAGGTACCTTTTTGTTTTCACTAGTATTAAAGTATTCTGCTGAATAAACGTTTCCGGAAATTTCATTTACGTAGGTATACATAGGTATAATTCACTATTAAAAATAAAGAGGTGTCTTAGAAGATGATTAAATGAAAAAAAAAATTCTTAAACTATTATAATGATTTTACTTACTATTCGGAAGGATAATTATTTGAAACTATTAGCACATCCACCTTTATATAGGTACAATATTAGGTATATTCTAAGTGCACGAAGCACCTATGTCATTGTAGTTTTGACATTTTTTTTATGCTACTTTGTTATGTGTGAATATTACATAAATTAATATGTACCTAATTGAATTGATTTGCATAACTTAACTTTAACACACTTTTAATAACCACTAGCTGTTTATAATTTGATTAGTAATTTTGACATGCATTTTACGATAATCACCCATATATTTATACAAATATTAAAACTCAATATGCATATTGTAATTTCTATGCAATAATTATTAGGTAGAGGTAGGTAAATATAGTCTTAATATTGGGAACCTATACCTACTACAAAACACTTGTTACACACGATTTAGGTATATTTCATAGAGCTTGGTAATATTACATGTGTTCAAGTGGGATGTATAATTAGAATTTTTTCAATAAGTACGTTTCGGTCATAACAACTTTCCGCGAAAGAAAATCATTATCTCCGAATTTGTTCTGATTATACGAATAGCTATAATATTACGTGTTTATATAGTATCGAAAGACCTTATCTAATTTAAATACATATAGTATTTATTGTAACAAGCGGAAATCAACACTTTTAAAAGCATTCTAAAACCACGAGAAAAACACCGATATTATATTACAAAAATTAATTTTATTACATACTACCTACCTACACAATTATTATTATTATAAACATTACGTTGTAAATACTTATTATAATACATAGATACTCAATTATACTCATAAATTAAGAGAACTTGTAATATAGGTTTCCAAATTTCTGGAATGCTTTACAATTTTTTCGTTAGGTCTGATTACGGATCTACTTTGCACATACTTTTCTTAGCTGTTTGCAATCGAGACCCTAGTATTATATGGATGTAATATATTAAGTAATATAGTATAACCTATATTATACTTTAAAACTTTGATTTATGACTATCGTGACAACAGCGATGTACATTTTTTGTTTATAGTAAATCCGCATACCTATAATAATATAAATCTCTAAGGCTATAAATATTAACGTAAAGAAACCGTATATTATACAAATAACTGTAAATAAAAGTAGGTACCTACCTCGATTTATTTTGGAGTGTGCGTAAAGATATCGCTGTATACCCTCTAAGCGTACCGTATGTACAAATATACATTTATAAGTGTGTTTATAAACACAAAAACCGATAAAATTCTAATCGTAATCTAGTGTACCTATATACTACACGTAATATATATTGTAGCATCGGTTAATGTTTTATTTTTCCGAAATTTCCGTCGACCTGACGACCTGTTCATTCGTCGGTGGTGACAGCCATCGCTTATATCTGCAGCATACATATACTTTATACAACGTATTGTGTGTGCCTATATATTATATACCTATATATTATACGATTTAATAATACTCGCGATTTTGGTTATCTCGGGAAAAGCCGCCGCGGCTGATCTATACGGCGGCGCGCCGGTCACCCACCCCGACAATGATAATAATAATAATAATAATTATTATTATTATTATTGGTATAAGTATTATTCAATATACCCATCATACGCATCATTTGACGCTCGTCCGTTGCTCGTGTCCGATGTTCGCGTGTGCTCACCGAGCAGTGCAGTACATTAAATATATGTACACTTTCGCGTTTTAAATCATAAAATTGTATGATTTATAATATACATTATTATTATAATATTTCTAACGTTGCAAATTATTGTTCGTTACGTATAACATTACGCGCTGCACGATGTTCATCGTCTACAGCAGAGTTCCCGTAAGTAAAAATAATATGAGAAATATTTCATATAATAATGTGTATAGGTACTTAACTGTTTTATGTATTGTATTGATTTTGGTCTATTTGGTTCTATTTTCTTCCATTTTCTTCTATTTTCTTCCATTTTGTTCTATTTTGTTGACCTCATAATTTTTTGTAACACGGGATATATTATACAACGGCTGCAGTAACGCGTACGCAAAGTCGAAAATTCGTATTAATTTTTTTTAAATTTTAATCACAACGAAAATATTTAAGCTAACCTAATATTTTGTTACACGGATACGTCATGATTTTCCTCGCGGACAACAAAATTATATTGTACGATGATATTATACGGTCGGCGGCGTATATTGTACCCGTACATAAAGGCGTATAATGCTATTAAGCACGCGCCGTCTTCTTCTTTATAATATAATATTATAGTGAACATACTATTGTGTATATCACTACACGTTTAGGTATATAATATAAATTATGTATAACAAATGTGTGCTGAGTCCATTGTGTTTACTATAGAGTATAGAGTTGGGGATACCTAATACATAATAATACTATTTATATATATTATTATAAACATTTATCGCGTGCTTACTTATGTATATATTATGCATGTACATATTAATAAATAATAATTATTGTTCGACCGCGACTGTATAGTATATACCAAATATTATAATCGTATGTAAACGCGGTAATTGTATGTATGTATGTGTGTGTCGTACGGTGGCTGAAAAACAAATTACACGTTGAATACTAAATGGTATAATGTGGCGACGGCGGTCCTACTGACCTATAGACAATCGAGGGCCGAAAACAATATCACGTTTACTGATTCAATAGTTTGTAATTTGTATTTCATTCTATTGTGTCATTTCTGCCGTCTCGACGAACAAAAAAAATCTAAAACAATCGAAATCGAAAAAAACATCATATCATACATTATATGACTATAATAATATATACCTATATACGGAATTATATCATAGTTCGGTGAAGTATATACTTTTATATAACGATACATTTTGGCGCCCACGCTTGGGATTTCATGTTGTTGCCGCCGTCTTACAAAATATGTATACACCGTACACTATATATAAACGCCCGCGTATATATATATATAGGAATGTATACCTAATAGCTTAAGTAAATACACTAGCGTTTTATATATAAAAAAAGGTACTATATATATACTATTTAGGTATATTTGGTATCGATAGGTACCTACTACACGTCTATATATGTATATATAATCGCGTAGGTACATGATTTTCGCTTCGGTATATAATATATACTGTTCTAACGTACAAGAAGGAACAAGTTGTTGCTTATTTAGATGGTATAATACCTACTCACCGACAATTGGTATCCGTGTTTGGGAGGCCCCTTTTTATCGCTCGCATTATGTAGGTATATACATGAATAATTATATACATATGTGTAATATCTCATATAGGTATACCTAACTAGGAGTCACCTTATTAATTATTAATAACCTGTGGTAGTTCTAATTAGGACAAAACAGGTCATATTATTATAGGCGCATTGTTATTGTTATTATTTTCGCTTTTTTTTCTTCTTTTTCTTCTTTTTCTTCTTCACTCTCTCCCGCGAGTGCACAAAATCGCCGCCTGGTTTTAATAATTATATTGTTATAATTTATAATCGTCACGCTTTAAAACATGCACTAAATTCATGGGTATAATGTACACCTAGGTACCGAGATATAATAATATATTATACATCACACAAATTACATAGTTCCGAAAGTTCCGTTCGTGCGGTATTAGGTACGTTTTCAGCCCAACGTTCGGGTTAAAACGAAATTTCAACACAAACCAATACAATATACCTATATGCACACGACGATCGTTATATCGCGTGCCTGAAAACTCTTGCAGTGTCCGATTTGTACGTTGCTATACTGTTATAACAATGTGTACACATATAGTATATATTATATTATTATGTTCGTTCGAAACAATCTTCAATATATTATAATATGTTGTGTGTCGCCGTGTAAGAATTATGGTAACACGTCTATACTCGTATTGCAACGGCTGCAGTCTATATGGGCCAGAACAAACGGCTATATTATTATTATTATTATTATTATAAAAACACCAAGCCACTGTGTACACCTAACCTATATATTGTTTTCGGAAATTCAATCAAAACACATGAATATATTATACGTATACATAAGTAGGTACTTGCGAAAAAATTGATTCCCATATAATACCCTCTTTCGCGCCCCATACTCTCTTGTTATATTATAATATAATATATATATTATTTTATGTGATTTTTCCTGAGTTATCGCCTTTGCATTACTGTATACGACCCCTCTTTCGAGAAAAGTGTAGATTATAATATATATATATATATGAGTGTATGTGTGTGAGTGTGTGTGTATAGCGTGTATACATGTATATTTATTTGTTTTCGACACGCAAACGGATTATCGCGTGGGCGACAACCAGCGCGAACGGTGTTTGCACCGCGCGAAATCTAATATCCGACTTATAGCCGTGCGAAGTTCTATATACTCAGCCCAGTGAAATATTTATTTATTTACCCATCGGGCAAAATGTCGAAACGGCCAGATAAATTTAAACGAAATATGTCGTCGTATAGGTACATAATATTATTATACGCACGCTTTGGAGGTGCTCATGCAACATAAAATGACTAGTTATGATAGGTACCTGTACATATTTAGGTACTTTATTACCTATCCTATATTTTAGGATATGGTAAAGATTATATTATTATTATGTTATTCGGCGCAGTTGATTTAAATAGGTAAACGCACTTATTTCTTAGATACCTATGTATATATACTTCTCCGTGTATATAATATTTACATATTATATAGGTGTAGATGGGGAAATATCCGTTTTGATATTTATATATACTATTGTTAATTTGATTAAACCGTAGTGATGCGTGTATATACCATGTTCCAAATAATATTTAAAAATATACATTATAAAGTTAATAATTAATATGTTTTCAATTCTCTTGCATTTATTCGAATGTTATTATTTATTACTATAGAAGATATCTTCTGCACTAACATAATATTCATGCATCATATATATATATATAAATACCAACGATTGTAATACTGCTCTATTCTCTAAATATAACGCATTATATACCTAAAATTAATTATAATTTTAATTATATCGTATAGAACTATGTAGGTATAAAGTTTAAACATATAGGCACTTGACTACATCATGGGTAGGTACACTTACATATATTTGTTATGATTAGGGAATAAAATTACCGAATAATATTTTTTCAATATGATAAATGATAATACTGCCATGTGGTACCTAACTTCTTATAAATTTGCCTACACAGTAATAGTTACTATTTTTGGTATAATGACACTGTTAAATATTTATCTGATAATTATTTCATATTAGAAGTATATACACAATATTGTATTATTCATTGTACAAATCATAACAAAATATGTATGTAATATAACTTCTAATTTTATTTTAGTAGTATGATAGAGTGCTATACCATAAATAAATGTATTTTAATTATATTAGTGCAAAAAGAAATTTGATCAATTTTAGCTTATGTACCTATAAGTTTTTGTCCACGGACAATTTTACAATATAATATTACACATATTAATCATTAGGTACAATAAAAAAAAAATCAACTACGCATCATTAACTTGGTCTATTACGTAATATTTTAATAATATAATGTCCGAATTAAAATATAAAATGGAAGACTTAAATAAACGGAATGTATTGTGGTCGAAGTCGTAATTTAATATTATGTTTCAATAATATGTTTAATACATGCGGGTTCTTTGCGTACAATATGCAATTGGGTAGGAGGAGCGTAAATGGTTGCCGCCATTCGTTCTACTTTCGTATATTATATATAAAATAATAGTATAGAACTTATAGAGGTGTGCGTCTGCAGTAATATTTGATGACACGCGGTAACCAATAATAAAACGTGTGTGCATATATATATATTTAATATCAGAATATATCCAAACTTTTGTGTAAACGTGTTTTCAACACGAATTTCCGTTTTTTGCCGATTTTGTGCACAGTGTATGTGCTCATTGATTGGAAAAGAATGCTCGCTTTTCCTCGCACCAACCCATATCCGCACATTCCGTGGTGTAGACGAACGGTTCGTGTTACAACAACTGTATTGGGGATATCTGAAGCTCACTATTTTCCCATAAGAAATCCCCGAAGTCTTTGTAACGGGAATTTCTGAACGGTGTACCATATAGGTATAGGTACCATATTATAATATGTTATAGGTGTATATAGTTGGGCACAATATACGTATTATAATACAAATACCGTTCCCAAAAACCTATCCGCGCGGGTACCTACCATACGATCGCGGTTTTACGATGCGCGGATTCGGTAAAAATAATTTTCTACAGATCCTATGAGTATATCGATTGCCGTATCCTGTTTCCGTATACGGTATCGGCAATATGTATACTCACGACTATTACCATATAGGTAAATCCGTCTCTCGCTACCGCAAAAGTATAATATAATATATAATATAGGTGTATGGGGGCAGGAACGCGAATCGCGAGGAAATCGTTCGGTCGGGCGGAATCCAGATTTATACCTTTAATATAATATTATTATATAGATGGGTACCTACGGTGATACCAACGCATATTATAATGTAGATGTGGAGTGTTACACCACATCCCTATTTTGAGCGAGCGCCCATACAAAACCATCGTCGATATATATTATATTATTATATATAGCCATATAGGACGTGGGTATACCGTTATACCTACCCGTGGTGTACGACGACTTATTTAACAACGACTGCTGTAGTGGGTACGGTCGGCTTGTCACTCGTATAATATGTATTATATATGCCCGTATGCCTTTACTCTGTCTCATATACATATACGTACGATTTTCGTCCGTCCAATCCGTCGAGTAATATCGCATATCACACGGATTTCGCTTAAAATATAGTAATATATATATATCATATTGTTCCGTCAAAAAATCACGTACACGTCCTCCTCCTGCACATCGCTCTGCAGCCGCTTTATTATTGTTACTGTACGAAATATATATTATTATTATTATAAGTGTGCGTGTGTGTGACGCTCGTCAAAATCCGATCATCCGTGTGACACCGCTCGTCGCCGGTCGCTGCAGACGACAACTGTCGAAAAACGTAACAATATAATAACAATAATAATATGTTACACATACGACACGGTTTTTAACGGTACGAATCACACGGCTCGTTGACTATCTGGCGTGTCGTCGACGTCAAATTGTATATTTCTTTCTGCTGCAGGTACCTACATAACATAATACATCATGTATTGTACTGCGCGTTTGGTGCGTCCTGTTATCGTTATAATAATATTGCTATTAACACGATTTTCAGGGAACATAAAATGTGTACCCCAATACTTTCCTAAAAAATATTTCAAAGAATGTATTATTATACTATTTACCTACTGACGTTTAGCTCTTCTCCTCCTACGTATAGGCTATGAATCTCGACTCTAAGGTATCTGAGAACTCTCTGTGTATATGAGACGTTGTATACCTATGATATTATATCGATTCCCTAGATATACTATCTCGTCACAACTTTAATACAATACGCTGTTGTATAATAATAATAATAATAATAATAATAATATATTGTCAACGTGTTATATACTAATAATACATTTTTCGTTTGCAGACCGCATCGTTAGTGCCGCCGCAGTCTCTGTTACCGCAGCCGCCGCACACGTCTTCGTCGTCGTCTTCTAGCCCGCCGCCTTTACAGCTATCGCTCACCGCGGCCCGGCGACACACTTCCGTCTCGCCGCAACCGCCGTCTTCGACCGCAGCCGGCCACAACTCGTCTCCGCCGCCACCGCATCAGCCAAGGTCCTCCGTCGGCGGATCGACCACTTCGTCAGCGGCCCCACCGCCGTCGTCCACGGCACCGTCGTCCGTCGGCGGCAGTCCCACCACGGCCGTCGCCACGGTCAGCACGTCCACCGCCGCGGCCGCGGCCGCTGCACCTCCCCGGTGCTGCGACACCGGCCGGCCCATATTCACCGACCCCATTACCGGGCAGACGGTGTGCTCGTGCCAGTACGACCTGCTCAGCTACCAGCGGCTGGCCGCTTCGGGTGTACCAGCCCTGTCCATGTACACCGCGCCGTACCCCGAGGGCATGGCCGCCTACTTCCCGGCCCTCGGCTCTGACCAACCACCGTTCTACTCTGCCGTAAGTACCCGTTTTTTGACGCCTCTATTTGACTGATAATCGTAACATGTGTGCCACTATATGGGTGTACATGAACGACTGTATTCATTGAAAGATTTGTGTATTAGGTAATATTTTGTTGAAAATGATTAAATATTGAAAGATTGGATTGAATGAATTGTACACCTATATAGGCTTGGTATATCCGAACGAATGTCGACAGAAATATTTCATTTTGAATTGCCGTAGGTACCTATATTTGCGTTGATGTCTCTGTATAATTAAGGGTTTTTTTACTGTGCTGGACATAAGAATGTTTATCTAATTAATAGAGACATATTATGATTAAAATTATACTCGCATTTTCATCATGATATATTATAATATCTATACTACTAATCAACTAAAAGTATGAACAAAAACTTTGATTAAAATTATTACCCAAATACTTGTAAAAGAAACAGAATATGTATTGTGAAACAATAATTACCTTTACAGTTAATCTGCATTTTAAACAACATATTATTATTATTTTCGATTTGTGGGGAATTATATTTAGTATTGTCTATTAATACCGTTATGCGTAGGGTAACTCTATATAATTATATGATACCTACGTGTGCACGGGTAATATATCACTTAAGAAAACTATTTCGGTTATATTTTATCTGTAGCCTGCTGGTTTAATTCCTTACAATTTTAACAGCGGTATATTATTATGATACCTACTTATGTACTCTGAACAATTAACCTCGTGTTATCAACATTTTTTGTAGACACGATTCTCGTGTGTTCGGCACATAACTCGTGTACGCCTTTATACAGCCCAAACGTAAAAATAATATACACATAGTGCCTTTATTCCGCACGTCGGACGTCGTTTTCAACGCAATTCAACCCCTTGTCCACTCTTAACCACCCTGTATACCATTTGGTGTATGGTATATTATCTCATAGATATTACCTAGCTGTATATAGCTGTAAACCATATACATACCTATATTATTTTAAAATACGCGTATGGCGGTCCATAAATCGCCTAGCCCCCGCGATGCTTACATTTTATATGTATAGGTATACTATGTATGTATGTTTATAAGTTCGCATAGATTTATAATATTTTAATGTACCGCTTAACATAATTTATAAATATATTTCATATTTATAGAGAAAATAACAATAATATATCTCCAGTCCCTCGGAGATATCATTATACATTATATAATATCCTGCAAAACCGATTTCGTGAAATCGCAGAGTATATATAGGTACCGCACCCAAACATATATATTCCACTGTCGTATTATTTTTTATGTACACAGTAAAGGTATCTATATAAAAACGATATAATTAGCATAATATACATCATATTTCCTTTTCTCGCCGAGGGATCTACACACATATACAGTTCGCGCACAAAAAACCCATATTCCGACACGTCGCGTCCTTGTCGTATATGACATATACATATCGCGTCATACACGTGAAGTGACGGCGTTGTGATTCATATTGTCGTACATAGACGCTCTTATATACCTACATAATCCATATACTTAGGTCGTATGTACCTATATATATATAGTGCATATAGTATATATATCATATTGTAACGACCGCGGTACACTCGAAATAAGTATATGTATATATATATATATATATATATAGGCACTACCCATATTATTTTGAGTTATATATAATAACGTTAATAAACGAGTTCACCCTAATAACGCTTGTACATATGATAATATATTTTATTATTATTAATGTTATATATGTATATTTTTTGTGTGTGCGCAGGCCGCAGCGGGACTTGATCTCAAAGAGAACTTGGCAGCTGGAGCTACATGGCCGTACCACTCGGTCTATCACCCCTACGATGCGGCATTCGGGTACCCTTTCAACGGGTGAGTACCCCCAAAAATACACACATACTAGGGTTGTCGGGGCAGAGGCATAACAATATATATTATTATATTATTTTACGCGTGCGTGTGTGTACGACGCACGTATATGTATGTATGTATGTACACACGTATGTACCTACCTATGTATATGTTGTATTTATGTTCGCCTAAAACAACAATGCGTCGAACGGCGGTCCGACCAATAGGAATGGCGTATATTATATAATCTAACGCAATATATAAATATATATTTAGGTACGTGTGTATAGTTTTCCGATGGGGTGGAGGAGGGTATGCACAGCTATATTATAGTACCTATACCGCCGCGATGGTTAATGTTCAATATTTTTTCTGTCGTCTGTGCGACACACCGCGGCGGAGGAGTACATCATCTAAACATTTTATTCGGTACCCTATGCCTGCCTATATTCGTCCTTCGATGATATCGCGGGTGCTTATAAAAATGGACGCCGTCGTTAAACCTCCACGTGGCCACACTTCGTAGATATGATGTAAATGTGTTTAAATCATTTGGCGAAACACGATGTTCATTTGTTGTGCCTATAATACATATTAGGGACACTTAATTTTCGATTTTCTTCTTAATTCAATTGCGATTTTCTGATCGACGATTTCGTGCACGTATGAAGCTTTTCGCGTCCGCCAGTCTTACCACGCGGAATTTAAGTATATATACCCTATTAATTATTATAATGATAATATAGCTAGTACCTATATTGTTATCAAATTAAATATTTCATTACGCCATTTATTGTGCACCGTAAATAATATAAAACACATTCTATATATGTGAATGTATATATGGGTACTACAATCATTATATAGTTGAATAATGTATAATATATTATTACAATATGATCTTTCGATCTTATATATTATATATTTATTATTAGTTACAGTATAGTACCTATATATATACACTGTGTTGCATAAAATACCATGTGGAACATAAGCATGGCATGTTTCAACTATATGGGGTTTTTGTAATTTTACTTGAATTATATGTTTCATAATATATAAAAAAATTTATTTTCATCTTACATTCTAACATTTGTACATATATATCTTACATTTACCTCCGTTATATTATCTACCAGGCACGTTTCAAACAACTTTTTTCAAGCTGATATTAATAATAATTCCCTGTGTGTATAATACTCATGTATTATTTTATGCATTATGTCATCATATTAATGTATCTAAAGACATAGATATATATATCAAAAACATTATTTACATTTTTTATAATGCATCGTGTAATTGTATCTCAACTTTTTATATAAAGTATTAAAAACCCGCGCAAAACGAATGTATACACGTACATGATTTCATAAATTACACATGTATTTTATTGTTATGTTACAAATATGTATTTATCCTACTATATGTATAGGTACATTCTTTATACCGTAAAAAATGCTATTATATACAATACAATTGGTTTCTTGTAACATTTTCAATGTAGGTTAGGTGGTTTGTTTTCCATTAGTTTTCCATTAGTTTTACATTTATAAAACAAATACGGTTCACCCGTATTTATGTTTACTATAAAGTCATATGTTGGGAAATAGACGATAATAATTCGTATATCTTATGGATTTATGTTGCTAATCTTCTGCTTATAATACATACGTATTTACCTATGTACTATTGTAGGTTGAAAATAACATTATACAAATTCTAATTCTTGAACATAAAATGTTAATTTTTAAACACTGTACATCTATACAGGCAATGCTTTTAAAAGAACGTCTTTCGTTTGTGTTAAACGAACTTTTGATTACGGTTAACCTTTAAAATCACCTCGCGTCGTCTGCACAATTAAAATGTATATATATCAACGTTATTGTTCAAATACAATGTGTCAACACGGTTTTTTAGTCGTATATTTAATTTCGCGATGTTTATATCTATGTACGAATTCGTTTTGCCGTGGGTTCTTTTTTATCTTTCATTTCATTTTACAAACAAACACATTTTAAAAACTTTATATTATATTTTCCTCCTTAAACATTATACAATAATAATAATATAATTATGTATTTGTATGTAGTGTACGTGTTTAATTGATACAATATCTAATGTATCATGTGCGTATGTGTGTGTGTAATATACACATAGATAATATAGCTTATTGCGAGTGTTTAGAATTGCGAAACATGATTCCAGCCGATTAGAAGCTTTATAAGTACAATATATTACAATATTATACTACTAGCTAATACTATATAATATATAAAATAACATACGTCCCACATCGTATTATGACAATCGGTTGACTGAACGGGAATAATATATGTGTATATGTGTAGGCACACACACCTATGGGTACCGTTGCAATGCTAGGAATTAGGATGTTATCCGATATATATAATATATTATTGCCAATGAATTATTATAACTATTATTTTTCCATTTAATACCCACACGTGATGTTATAGCAATGTTTTCTGTCGGGTGTATAATGCATAATATATATAGCCGGTAAATACTGCAGTGTAATAATAAATGTATAGATTTGCGATTTTGAATTTAGGACGGACGTATAGTATTATGCTTACCGGGTGGTGCTTTAAAATTAAAAAAAAAAAAAAATATTAATGAACGACAACAACAACACAATCATAAAATAAATAAATAAAAGTCTATCTCCGGCGGTGTGCTACATTGTGTGCCGTTGGTTGACCGGATAATGTTTATAAAAAACCATATCACGCTTATATATATATTATGGAGAGCCGACGATTTTTCCATTGAAAAATAATAATAATATTTTAAACACCATTACGAGTTTTCATCTTGCAAAAAATAGCCGGGCACGCGTATTATTATTCGTGCATGGATGGGGTGAAAAAAAAGTTCCATATAATGGGCGATTCGTGTTATCGATGTTGATGATAATGATGAAAGCCAGTACGACTATCCCTTCGGAAAGCCGATTTTTTTTTCGCTCACGACCCCTGTATAATATTGTTTCACTTATACATTATTCCGAACCGGAACGCTGTAAAAAAAAAAGGGAAAAAAGTGTTACGTTAAAAGCTTTGTCCACTTTTCAGTAGGTTAATTCTTTTTTCTCCAAACGTTGCATATATATATCCAACGACAACGATTTCTATGTCGGCCATATTGGTGGCCTTTGTAAATCTGTAACTTTTGCGTGTTCAAACGGAATCTTATTTTCTATTCGTTTTTACGTATATCTATAGATAATACACTATATATATGCGTTTATGATGTAATACTTACTATAACAATATAAAATGTTTTTGTATATATATATAAGTATTATATCATAGACTTTTGCAAAACACTATTATATTATACACAATCGATATCGTAATATTTTTATCAAATACATTTTAAATCATTAGTAGCATCTACACAACAAAAAAATTCTTATGAAAAAATGTATCGTTCAATGTGACCAAAGTGTATATGTTATACGTCTACTTTTTTTTGTGACGTAAAATGATGGATATCTTGTAAGTTCGAATTTGTCTACAAATAACATAATAAGCGTACAGAAAAAAAGTGTGAAAAAAATTAATCGTTTAACCAAAAATGTCAGTTCATCAACTGGACACATTCCAAAATGCATGTATATGATATATATTTAACTCGAAATTATTAGATATAAAACGCGCCAGCTATAACGAAAATATTTATTCTTCAGTCGTTAACGAATTTTATCATCATATTTTCGACATCAAACAAATTTTGTTATTATATATTCTTCTCTTATTAAAATAGACTTGTATTTTTAATTTCTCTTCGGATATACTTAATGCATGACACGCAGTAAAATTATACTATATACTCACATTAATGTATGCTTATGATGATATTAAGTTTTTAAAATTATCCTCAAGCTCATTTTTATTGGCAAATTCGAGTTATTTCATACCTCGTTGTTTATATAATGTTTATAATATATACTTATATTAAGACGGCTTTATAAACACGACGAGAGTTGTTCTCATTAAAATTATAACCACTGGCGTGTATATTATTAAGTATAATGTAGTAATATTATATGATTGTATAATATTATATTATATTATATTACATATTATTATACATTATTGTATATATAATGTGTATTAATATTTCGTACAAATTGTTTTGAAGAACAATATTATGTAGTTTTACAATTTTTAAAAGTATCGTTTTTGGTGGTTCACCAATTCGAAACATGAAAATGACGATTTTCAACAAAATTGTGCTCCTTTACTATATGCTATTAACCCATTTAAATAATAAGCGTATGCGGACATTCCGATTGCGTCTTTAGATGTTGGTAACACTGAACCGTAATTTTGTTGTTTTTACTTTTTTTTTGCACGTTCTCGTATATTATACTTTTTATGTATTACGTGTTTTATACATACATAATATAATATATTATCCAACACCCTTATTCCCTTTGGTCAACTGACACGTCGTCGTTGTCGTAATCGTCGTGGCCGCCGCCGTGTGCTGGTCGGCTGGCAGATGGTTATGGATGGGTTTTAGGCACGAACGGGTGGTACGAAATAAAACAAAAAAAAGTAGGTAAAAAAAGGAAAAATGGTATACCTTAATGCCACACACACACTCACGCACACTTATACACGAGCGCGTTTTGGGTGTGGTTTGTTGGCACTGACTCTCTGGGAAAAGATAACAAATACCGCCGTGCTTTTCGCCATTACACCCGGTAGATAAGGACGCAGGAATTTTTATTTTTTCGTTTTAACACTCCTCGTGTTTTATCTGTACATACAGCTAGTGTATGTGTTTGTGTGTGCGTGTGTGTGTGTGTAAGTATATGTACTCGCTTCTGTTTTTCATCGCCGCCGCGGTCGTTCCGACACACAATTTGTTAATGGAATCACGTAGGAAGCCGCTCGGCGACGTGTACTGGTTAAGTAGCCGATATGCGAGTATAATAAATCATATCCCGATAACCACGCTGCTGCCGCAGCTGCAGCCACCGA